ACGGGCCTCCTGGGGCAGAGCCGATGCCTGGGGGCACCAGGGAGTCTGCAGTGTGTAGAACTCCCTGGAAATGGGGCAGAATTTTGGGGTGGGTGGTGGTGGGGTGGGGGAGAAAGGGGTGGAGAACACCTGGCTGGCTGCCTGCTTTGAGGATCCCGTCTTCTTGTCAAATTCAGGAGAACTGAAAGCCAGACCCTGGGATCCCAAAGAGTACTTACTGCCAGCAGCTCGGAGCTGAAGGCGGTCCTGGCCCTCAGGGCCGGGAACAGGTGGAGACGCCAAAGGTCTTGGGGGTGCAGTCTTTGTGCAGGATGTTTTCGGCAGCATCGTTCACAGTAGCAAATGGTGGAGACAGTCCACGTGTCTACGCCACATAATGTGGTCCATCCACACACTGGGTTATTATTCAGCCACGGGGAGAAGGGAGGCCCTGGTACAGGCCGCACTGCCCCACGGATGGACCTCACAACCTTGGGGCTCAGTCAGAGCAGCCTGACACCGAAGGCCAATTCCGCTGACAAGTGATGCCCAGAATAGGCCAATGCCGAGAGAAAGGAGTGGGAGAAAGATGTAGCAATCGGCTTCCACAAAGATCGCACAAACACATCACCTCCCTGACATCGAGATCCCCAACTCACCGTGACCCTGTGATAGGACGGAGAAGTGCCCCTGGGAGTTTCTGAGTCTAATGCTTTACTAGAGCAGTAAGCCTCCTTCTTCTCGCGAGGAGCAGCTGGTTGGGTTAGAACTGCTGACCTTGCTTTTAGCAGCCTAGCTCGTTCCACTCCTGGACTATATCGTATGTATGCATATGTGACCCGGGACCTCTGGCAAGATGTTTCCAGAAGGCATTGGCCTCCTCCTAGGAATCTTCATCAGCCAGGCTTCTCCCCAGTCCTCTCCAGGAGCAGGCTTCCTCCTCCCAGCTGTAGCACATCGTTCTTTACATCCACTGTCACAGTAACCAAGACAACCATTAGACAAACAACGTGGTCTGATTCACACCCTCTACGCAGATCAGAACGCAGCATCATCCCATTCCTGTTAGCGGATAAAACCAAAACCTCAC